GTGGACTGAAATGTGGACGCTGTGGCACTGTTTTGAAGACCTCCATTGATTCAAGGACTTTCCAAAGCTGTGACTTCTTTACAAATGGTAGAACCATTGTCGACTCTCTCGCTGGGGGAGTTTCCAAAACATCGACATGCTTTTCCACAACTGTATTAAGCCCTAGATCAGGAGTCCGAGAAACAGATTGCCCTGAGGAATAAGGTGAAAAGCAAAACACAAAACAATGAGAACCGAAAGCTAAAAGAGCACCAATTGTTTACAAGATGTGTCAGCACTTAATCCAGCCGTACCCGATGATGAATTTCCAGCGTGGATCCATGAAGCAAGAGGCCTATCATCCTCAGTCATATCGGTATGTTCAATAGTGGCAGCCTTTGAATTATTACCAGACACACCTACAATGTATTATGCCAAGAATGTTTTAAGATCGCAAAGAAACAAATGCCGCTTTACTTATCCATGAAAGTTAAGACAACATACCAGTCTTCTGCTTAGGCTCTGTGCTTATGAACTTGCGTGGCTGTCCTCTTTTCCTCTTATTAACACTCTCTCTGTTTTTCATCTCCTCAGGTGCCTGCGTAGAATCAATAGGATGAACGACCGGCAAAGTGGGATGTTTAACAGTTCGACTAACTAACTTTCACCTTCTCTTTAGCAGAATCATTTGTAGAGCTCTTTTGATTCTTCATTGCCTGAAGTTTCTTCTTTGGAGATGTTTTTCCTTGTGTTTTGACCGCTGCGGCTACGCCCAGGACTATCGATGGGTGAAAATCTTTTGCTAGAAACAGTAAATATGTAGAATCATTTCGAGACACAAACAACTTCCAATAAGACTAACCATCATATTTGTCAAGGTAAAGAATGATATAACACTTACGTGCTGCTATCTCCGGTTGGCTTGTGACTGGAGTGTTCTCATTCATCACAACATCAGTCATCCTACTCCCTAATTCTCCAGATAACTGCTGCAAGAAACACACAAAGTTAACAGTAATTACCCAATCTATGTCATTGGAGTAAGATTGCTTCAAGCAAGTTAAATTCACGACTGTTAAATTAGCGTGCAACTAGAGATAGAGAGGGACGGGCGGAAATATCTAACTCACAGCTGCAGTTACGGAGAGCGGTGTTTCACTCACAGTGACAGATGCTCTACCAGCCTCTGCAACATCTCCACTGGAAGAGGCAGGAAGAGGATTCTGCATATTCTGGATAGCACCACTAGAAGAGCGTGTCGCCCTCAAATTTTTTACTGAGGCCGAAGCATGCCTCTCTCTCAGGGCAGTTCGAACAGTTACCCTTATGCGGGTTGAACGAGCTGTTTCTTCAACTCCATGAGAACTCTCTTCGATATCATAAACCTAAAAATGGAACACAAAATGTTTTTTTTCTCACAAAATATGAACAAATGATTCAACAACATACAATAGTGTTTTATGTAAGAATCAACAACATACTTTTTCTTCTTTATGCCAAACTCCATCTTTCCACTCTATAGAAGGTCTTAACTGCAAGCGGCTAAACTCCTTACTCTCCTTGTTTGGCCCCAAAGCCACTGCGTATCTCTTCCCGAAAAGAACTTTACTAACAACACCCGGACACCATCCAGACTCAACAAGCGCATCCACATTTTCCATCAATTTGTAATCTCTTAAACCAATAGGCAGTGGTGAAGGTCGGATTTTGGAATAAGAAACGCTTATCTTGGTGCAATCGACCTCTTCATCGCTTAAAGTCTTCAACTTTACCAATAATGTCCCATCTTCATTCTCCTTAATGGCCATAGCCGGAGCCCAAACATCACCCAAATTGTGTACCTCGGTTCTGACTTCTACAGACTTTCCGGCACTAAAATCCGACTCAGTCAATTGCTTCATCCACAAAAATAACATCATTTGGTTAGATACCAATGAAACTAAGAGTTGAATCAAACGAAGAAGAAAAAATCAACACTTACTAGTTTCTCGTATCGAAACCATTCGTCATCTTTCCAAGTGAAATGCGGACGCAGATCCTTTCGTTGAAGCTCGATGACATCAGGTTGGAATCTGAGATACACCAAGAAACGCCAATTTCCCAGCACTTTAATCACCAAGCCAGACCACCAACCACCTTTATGAGCAGCGTCAACGACGTCACCTTCCTCAAAATCGACCTCTGGAAACGGATCCGGCGGCGGAACTGGACGCATCAAACGATGCACGGTGGTTTGGATTAACGGAGGAGAATAATCATCCTTGAGCAGAGGATCCAAGTGACGAACGGAGAGCTTCTTCCGCTTCGATTTAGCTAGAGTTTCTTCGAGAATGGCGCAGTACCAGACATTGCCAGTACCATACTCATACTCTTGAGAAGAGACTTCAATTTCAGAACCTTTAGAAACGGAGAGCTTCTCCTTTCTTCCCGTAGTTAACAACATGGTTTCTCTCAGAAAACCCAAAGCAACAATCACCAGAACCCTAGACCTAAGAAGAAGAGAGACGAAAGATAAAGTGAGCTATTTTTTTTGGTGGAAAGCTTGAAGAAATGGAGTATATGTAAAGATATTCTTTGTATTAGTATTAGTGTTAGTGTAGTGGAGATCTACTATAATTAACTTCTTCTTCTTTTTTCTTACAACGTATTTAATTATGATTCAATCGGGAATTGTGGCTGTTTGTATTAGTGCTGACTCCCACCCAATCAGATTTGTCGATTACTTATAAATTCAGATTTTCTAAACTGTCTTCTAAACGTTTGTAAAAACAATTTCATTACATTTTTTTTTAATATCATTTTCGCTTTTAGAATTGAGTCGTACTGTTTGAAATTTTGAATACTGTTTGAAATTTCAAATCCATCTCACGGGATTGGCCAATTGGGTGTGTCGATAAATTAATTTAGAAAATGCACAAGGCTAAAAAGAAATTGGAATATCCGCCTAAATTGGGCCCCATTTTATAAGCGTCTGAAACTCTGAATTATAGGATAAAAGAAAAAAGGAAAAAAAAACTCGTGAATTTATTAGAGCAAAGAACAAAGAGTATGAAATGATAAAGAGTTTGAGAAGAAAGAACAAAAGAGAGAGACGAAGAAGACAAGACTCTCCTCGATTAAAACCAAACCACACAATGCTCTCCTAAGCCTGCAATTAATCACACATTTGATTAAGTCTTTAACAATCAATATAAATAAATACTAAGCGTTTTTTAAACTTGGTATATATACCTTGTTTGCGATGTTGTTAGAGAGCCAGTCAAGTCCCTCATAAAGCCCTTCTCCGGAGGTAGCACATGTGCTCTGTATGTACCTGTTCAACAAACCCACCAAGGATTTATATCACTTCTTAGGCTTTCGATCGGGTATATAAAGAGATTTGGTTTAGTTTTCTTTGGCTCACCAGTGTCGTTGACGGAGAGAGTGAAGTCCAAGCTTGTCAGTTATCTCAGCGGCGTTCATCGCATTTGGAAGATCTTGCTTGTTAGCAAAGACCAGGAGCACAGCATCTCTCAACTCATCCTGCAACAGTCAAAAGGAAACAAAATGATGCCACTTGCTTCATTATGTAACACTAGGGAAGGAGATTTTTGTTCGAGTTTTACTTCGTTCAACATTCTGTGAAGCTCATCCCTGGCTTCCACAACACGGTCACGATCATTGCTGTCCACCACAAAGATAAGTCCCTGAGTGTTCTGGAAGTAGTGCCTCCACAATGGACGAATCTGGATGGGCAAGTGAAAAGAAAAATGTTATATTGGAATAATGTAAATATCATTTAGCAAAATGGGGCAGTTCATGGAGAATAAAAAAGTTAGCTATAGTAATTGTAGAATACTGGTAAAGGAATGTAATCACAATACCTTGTCTTGACCCCCGACATCCCACACAGTAAAGCTAATGTTCTTGTATTCCACAGTCTCCACATTGAAACCTAGCAAAACCCAGAATTGTCAGAGATGAAAATTCTTCAACAAGTACAAGTACATGCATGCCATATTGCACCTGTTTATTCAAGATCCAAACTAAAATTTTACCATAATCTACTAATCCAACCATGAGTCCATGATCCCTTGATATGAATGCATAACAATGTGTTTATTTCTCATAATTCGATGCAAGAAAGAGGATGCAAAGTTAGAAACTCACCAATGGTTGGGATCGTAGTCACAATCTCTCCAAGCTTGAGCTTGTACAGGATCGTAGTCTTACCAGCAGCATCGAGACCCACCATGAGGATACGCATCTCTTTCTTTGCAAAGAGCCTGCTGAACAACTTTCCGAAGGACAGCCCCATATTATCAAGCCTGTTTCAAAGTAATCACATAAAATCTTCAGTCTAAACGCATACTCAATTGCAGCATTCACGTAGATTCAACACCATCCATCACTTGAGAAAAAAAATCACAAAGCAAAGCAGTTTTGACGCAACCAGTACATCCTCTGGAACTCATTTGCAGCATTCACATAGATTCAATATCCATCACTTGAGAAACAATTACAAATCAAGGTAGTTTTGATGCATCCTAAGATTAAAAGTTCTCTCGGATCTCATTCGTATCATCAACTTCCGATAGAATCAACATGATCAACAAAAAGAGATCTAAATTCCGATCTGAAAAAGAGAAATCTAGATCACTTTAACGATCATGCAGATACAGATCTATCATCCCTAATGAAACGAATCACAAGAAATCATGTCACATCCATAACGAAATCAGGCGAATACACACAGATCTGGAGATGACGGACACCGATCGCGAGATAGATAATGGAAACAGTCGATCAAGTAAACAAATAGAGAAAGAGGGATACAGATTCGGTGATGAACGGAGACTTACCGGGAAAAAAACTACGCCGAAGAAGAAGACCTAGACTTAACACTGTCGCCGATGGTCGTCCAAAGAACAAGAAATGGTCTTCGAACGTGAGAGGAGGAATAGTGGAACACAACAATTCTCTACTTATGGCCAAAAAAAAATCACAATTCTCGCTTTTATAATTTAAGTATATAATTAAATATATTAGCTTTGTTAACAAATCGCGGGGATAGCTCAGTTGGGAGAGCGTCAGACTGAAGATCTGAAGGTCGCGTGTTCGATCCACGCTCACCGCAATTTTTTGTTATTTTTTTGCACTCAGCTAGTGGGCCTGGACTTTTTACACATACAATATTCGATGAGGCCCATTTAGTTTCGGCTTTGGCCCATATTAATCAAATAGATCGTGTGGTGTATTTTTTTAATAGCTCAACAAGTTCTGACAATCCTTAGAAAACATGGCCGATCGGATCTAGGGATTGATTTATTGCTTTTATAACATTGCTTTCAGATTATTAAACATTACTATAATGAAATAGTATTAACATATACATATTGACTTACAATTAAAATTTTTGACTTTCTAAGCCAAAGACAGTAGTACTATATATAAAAAGCTTAGATCTTGAATCTTGATTAAAATTTTATGAGTAGCAAAATAATTCAAAAGAAATGGATTCCGCTGTTTCCTCTCTACAATTCTTCTTCTTTATTTTATGTCTATCTCTTATGGTTTGCTCTAACTCTGAAATTAGTTCCAAGTCAAACAAGAAACGTATACTGATAAACTTCGGCGACTCTAACTCCGACACTGGAGGAGTTCTTGCTGGAGTAGGACTTCCTATCGGACTTCCTCATGGCATTACCTTCTTCCATAGAGGCACTGGTCGTCTCGGTGACGGTCGACTCATCGTTGACTTCTTCTGTGAGTCCCATTTCTTGTTTTTATATACGTTTTACGTTCATACATGTAATCTTACAAATTCGGTTTAAAAAAATTTGATATATGATTAGGTGAACATTTAAAGATGACATATCTGAGTCCATATTTGGATTCATTGTCACCAAATTTCAAAAGAGGAGTCAATTTCGCAGTCTCGGGAGCCACCGCTCTTCCAGTGTTTTCCTTCCCTCTTGCCATTCAAATCCGCCAATTCGTCCATTTCAAAAACCGTTCTCAAGAACTTATCTCTTCCGGTAATTATTATTCTGTCTCAAAATATACATCTCAAATTCATTACTCATAAAATATTTTCTCCTGTTGGTAGGGAGAAGAGATCTTATTGATGATAATGGATTTAAAAACGCATTGTACATGATCGATATTGGACAAAATGATCTTTTACTTGCTCTATACGATTCAAATTTAACCTATACACCCGTTGTCGAAAAAATTCCTTCCATGCTTCTCGAGATAAAGAAAGCCATACAGGTACTTTATTTCTTTCTCAAAATACTTTTATATTTTAACATATGAATAAACTGTTAGCCGCAACATTTCATCTCCATATATGATTATAATTTGTATGATAAATTAATAGCTAGAGCGTTAGGGATATTATTTTAACTAACTAAAAGCTTCATGGGGACAACTGTTTAGTTGACTCGTAAACCTTACCTGATACGGCTGACTTTTGTCATTTGGTATATTGTAATGAAGACCGTATATTTATACGGAGGGAGAAAGTTTTGGGTACACAACACAGGCCCATTGGGCTGTGCACCAAAAGAATTGGCGATTCATCCGCATAACGATTCGGATCTTGACCCGATTGGTTGTTTCCGGGTTCACAACGAAGTCGCAGAAGCTTTCAACAAAGGACTCTTTAGTCTCTGCAACGAACTGAGATCGCAGTTCAAAGACGCCACTCTCGTCTACGTTGATATTTACTCCATCAAATACAAACTCTCCGCCGATTTCAAACGATACGGTGCGTATCGATCGCATTAATAATAAATAAAATCAACCATTTTTTATTGTTATGAGAAATAAAAACCGGTTTTGTTCGGTTTATTTGGTTTATGTGGTTTCAGGATTTGTGGATCCGTTAATGGCTTGTTGTGGTTATGGAGGAAGGCCTAACAACTACGATCGAAAAGCAACGTGTGGTCAACCCGGTTCAACTATTTGTCGTGATGTAACCAAAGCAATTGTATGGGATGGGGTTCACTATACCGAAGCTGCTAACCGGGTTGTCGTTGATGCGGTTTTGACAAATCGGTACTCTTACCCAAAGATTCCCCTTGACCGGTTTTGGTAGTTCTAGTACAAGTCAATCTATTTAACCGGTTTTGTTAATAAAGTTTGTTTTTCAATATAATCAGAAATAGAATAAACGACCAATGTGTTTTATATATGCAAGGATCTTAGCCGTTCATTAACCTCACTAATCGGTCCAACTATTGATGGTACTAAAATGACAAATGATTACGCTATGAAGTGAATGTGAGAAGTCAAACTATTGAGCCATTATCACCATGTTTTCTGGCTTCATATTCTTACAAATTGAAATTCGAGTGTTGACATGAGAAATGATGAGAGAAAATGACCAACCACTTTTTCTATTTTGTCTTTCGCCTCTCACATATTTTTTTTTTTTGTTTCTCCCTCAATTATTATTGCTCGTTCATAATAGAAAAAAAGTCGTCCCCTAGACATCATTATTGTCGGAATTAATTTGACTGCAGTTCATATATTCACCAAGTATAGTTAAAGTGTGTTCGACTATTGTGAATTTGTGATGTCATTAATACACAATAGTGTATATTTATTATTGTGTTCGTTGTATCTGGTTTACTAATATCGTATGGGACGACAACTATACACAGTATATCATTTATTGGATTTGTAAATCTGGTACTATTTTCCTTTAAACGGTGTGTGTATAACGAAAGTTAGCCATTATTAGCATCTATGAAGTTAACTTGGCATTGTATTATTTGAAGTTCCAACATGCAAGAACCTCGTATTGATGGAATTGTAAAGTGAAAGCAAAGATTCCGCCCAGCAGCTTCTACATAAAATATATTGGGTAGATGAAAATAATTAAGCACATCATCAAAAAAGCATATATGTTTTGGTATAAAAATTTAGCTTTGTGAAAAAAAAACAAAAGACATAAAATGAGTGAAATGCATGATTGAATCTTTAATAATGTAGTTTTGTTATTTTGGCAATAATACGTAATGTTGAATAAATTAGACGATACTCAAAAAAGAACTAATATGAGTGAGTTTGGTGGACAACTTTTACAGAATCTGATGAATAATTAATATGAAAGTTGATCAAAGTATTAAAAACAAATTCAATAAGCAGTTTTGCTATTAGAGTAGTGTATATAGAGTCTGTTACAAGTTTTATACTTTTAAATTTTATTAAATTTCCGTAATGTGATTACTTCTTCTTTTATTGTTTTGCAGCTTATTGTTTGTTTTCGTATTTATTTTATTGCATTATCATATTTTATGTTGAAACTATATATTCTTAAATCGGCTCTACCTCACTTGGCTCGACAAACAGTACCAGACCGGTCTATAGTTGAATCGGCTTAATTAAACTCGATACTCAATATGTAGTCCCGATGTCAAAATATTAGATGCAACATGACTAAAATACAAATAGACCACCGACTATTGTTAACCGGAAGCTGGCCAATGGAGAACGGGAACCGGTTCGCTATGTTAAGATGAGTGATGTCTGACTGACCGGCTAGATACACTGTTGATTTTTCCATGCTGATCTTAAGGCCCGATCGCTTGGCAAACTCATCAAACACCTCCACTATTCCTTCTAGAGATCGAACTTTTCCATCAGATAGTACCATAAGATCATCGGCGAAGCTTAAGTGGGTCAGCCCCATACTCTTACATCTCGGATGATAGCCAAATTTTTTTGCACCTGCTGCCTTATCCAACATTTTCGAGAGAACATCCATACTTATAACAAACAAATATGGGGAAAGAGCGCACCCTTGTCGTAAACCTCTTGAACTCTGAAAATAACCCGCTAATTCTCCATTAACTTGGACTGAAAAAGAAGCTGTTGTGATGCAAAGCGTAATCCAGTGAATAAATTCTTGTGGGAAATTCAGAGCTGTGAGGACATTTCGTATGAAGCACCATTGAACTAAATCGAAAGCTTTCGAAATATCGATTTTTATAGCACACCGACTAGAGGTAGAATCCTTGTGGTAATCTTTGACCAACTCCGTAGCAAGCAATAGATTCTCTATCAGCAACCTGTCTTTCACAAACGCAGATTGATTCCCCGCAAGAAACTTAGGAAGTACTGTTTTAAGACGGTTTGCGATGATCTTCGAAATAACTTTATAAATCACGTTACAACATGAGATTGGTCGATAGTCCCTCATTTCTCGAGCCTCTGTTTTCTTGGGTATAAGCGCAAGAATAGTGGAATTGATACCTTTAGGTAGGAATCCTTTTGTGAAAAAAGATTGGATGGCCAATGTGAACTCTTTTCCAATTATCTCCCATGCTGCCTTGTAGAATTCAGAGGTATAGCCATCGGGGCCAGGAGCTTTGTCATTTGGCATTAAGAACATAACTTTCTTAATCTCCTCATCCGTGACTGTGCGAATTAGACTTTGTTGATCCACTGCCGAGCATCAAAATGGTAGCAGTTGTTGAAGATCAATGATCGTGATACCCTCGTAATCGTTGGGAATCAGCTGCAAAAACTCACGGAAAAAACGCTCAGCCTCTGCTTTTATTTCCTCCTTCTTTACTTTAACCGTTCCATCGTTACTTAAGATCTCCCGAATTGTGTTTTGTGCTTCCCGTGTAGCTACAGCTCTGTGAAATGCCTTTGTATTCTTGTCACCTACGTGCAGCCAATGTAGTTTTGACTTCTGTTTAAGAAATTTTTCCTCCAAATCTGATACATGGTCCCATCTAGCATAAGCTTCGTTTTCTTCTACCATGGCTTGCGGAGAAGGGTTTGTTAAGTTCACCTGCTGCTTTTGACAGAGAGTTTCATACGCCTCTTTGGACTTTTTGATCAAGTTTCCCAAACGATCACGCGCCAAGCTTCTGATTTTGGCTTTAATCCCTTTAGTTTTTTTGAGAAGCGAAAGAGAGAGGAGGTGGATGAGAATATAGGCTCTGTTTCTTTCCAATAGGCGTCAACCATTGGTTTAAAATCCTCCATGTCAGTGAGTGCGTTCACAAATTTAAAAGGCTTTGGACCTTTTACTTTGCTTCCCGCTGCACACAATTTAAACTAATCCGACACCGCAAGTGATCCGAAACACCTCCAGCTTCGAATACACTATACGACTGAGGGAAAGCTTGCGTCCAGCCATCATTGATCAGAACCCGATCAAGTTTCTTCATGATTAAATCGTTTTCCCGTTTATTGCACCATGTGTAAAGTTGCCCTTGAGCTGCCATGTCCGAAATTGAACAGTAGCTCACCACTTGCTGAAAATCTCGCATTCCCGTCGTTACCATGGGGTTGTCTAACCCATGCGAGTGCTCTTCTATGTCTAGAGTCTCATTAAAGTTTCCAAATATGATCCAAGGTTTACGCCTAATAATAGGAGAGTCATAATGATCTTTCAGCTCTGTCCATAACTCTTTTCTCTCCTCCGCCGAATTAGAGGCATAAACAAAAGAGCAGAAAAACTCTTCCTCTTGATCCTCTAACTTCACAGAACATGTTATCAGTTGACCGCTTTTATAAAAGGGACTTAACCGTACATTCTTTTTCCAAATAACCCAAATACGACCACGTCCATTGTGTTCATAATTTTATTAACACTGACCAATCTTTGAACAACTTACTCCCCAATCTCACTGCCTTTCTTTCCTTGACCCTCGTTTCAATCAAACAACAAAACTGAAAATCATTCTCCTCCACCCACTTCTTGATAACGGAATGTTTTGAAGATTTGTTTAAGCCGCGAACATTCCAGAAGAAACCTGACATTAACGACGAGAGGGGGGGGGGTTCTTCTTACTCTGATCTTTAGGGAGACCCCTAGTTGATTGAGTTGAAGACATTGAAACAGCTTTATGCGCCGTCTTTGAGTCTCTAGGTAAGGATGGACGCAGTGGTAATTCTGGCTTACGCGGCTTTGTTACCCCTCCATTATCCTCTCTGTTTTCCTCTGTTTGATCCCCTGGTTTACTCGAGACTCTCGTATCTCCAGCATCAGAATCCTCATTCTGTCCCTCCTCTAATGCCTCATTCTCTCCTAGTACTGAGTAAGAATTTGTTAGAATGGAGACTTCTCCAAACTTTAAACCCTCTTTACTCCTGAACGGGCTTTTACTTGACCTTGGGGTTATCCATCCCTCCTCTTTATCCTCACCATCTGAACCTACCTTCTCTGATACTTCCTCTCCCTTTTCTCCAACACAAACCCAAGTTTCAGCAACATTATTTACCCCGGTAAGCTCCGCAGGTGAAGCTTCGGCGTTTCCTTTCTTCCCTGGAGAAACAGCCTTGTTAACTGTCCTTATTTCTTCTGTGACTTTCATGCTAGAATCCAGCTTCCCTGGAGATTTAGGCGCAGCAGCTAGACAATTTTTATACAAATGTCCCCATTTTTGGCAGCAGGTGCACCGTGGAGGTAACCATGGATAGGCGTACTTGACCACATAGTCCAACTCACCTTCTTCCTCGCCTGTGAATGTGTACTCTGTTGGTAAGCTCTTGGTTAAATCTGCTTCTACTAAAATTTGTGCTTCGTCGAAACTAACACAAGCTTCTGTTTTTGGATGCAATCTCTTAGGTTCCCCCACGGCACTGGCCAAAAACTCCAGTCCTTTATCAGTGAACATCGACGGAGGGATATTCGTTAGAGTGATCCAAAGTGGCATTGTCTTCATCGCTGGCTGTGCTTCTTCCTTAAAAGGAGTCCATTTGGCAACGATCATCGGAATGTCCATTATGTTCCACATCCCTCTGTTCAAGATTCGGTGGCGCATACCCTCATTTCTAATACGGAACTTTACCGTTGATTCATCAACTTCGAAGACATCAATCAACGAAGACCGATCTCCCAATCTCCAGATCTTGTTCACAATCATGTGAATTTTCCCCTAAGAAGTTATGTTTAGAATCAAATTGTTAGGAGTTGATTATTGGTAGAACCTGTTTTTAAGTACTATTATAATAATATAATGAAGTAATTGACCAACCAGACGCTGCCACGTCAATCCCACATCCGGGTGTAAACATACATCCCAGTTTTGTGTCTTAGACAAATTTTGCATTATTTCTGTATTTTAAAATAGATACGCCCCACGCAAGGATGCACCGTTGCGTTTGCTCTTATCTTTACTAGCGACTTGCATTAACCACCTCCGGTTTCTGACCACAAAGGAGAATAATATAAGTAGGGTTGGTTTTTACAATGTGTCTCAGCATAAAATCCCTGACACACCAACTCATTTTCTCCTCCTTTTTTTTTTTTTTTTTTTTCCTGGGTAGACTAATCCCTGTGGGAAGTGCAGCCCATGGATTGACCCTCGCTCCGGATATTCAAATGGGCCGAAAGCAAGAGCCCATATCCATGTGGGTGTCCAGAAACAATGTGTTGGATTTTCACGCAGCAGGTGGATCGAACTTGAGACGTGTTGGCGCCTCAAGCCCGTCTCATTACTACTAGGCCACAAGGTCCTGGACTCATTTCCTAAGGTTGGAAAAAAACCATCATCACCATTTATGAAGATAAGTTCACCAAGACTCCAAAGGGATGTGATATTTCAAACCAAACTAATCATTTTAATGGATCACCCAGCCGTTTGGTAAAAAAAATATATATATCTATATATATAAGTCTTGTTCACATTGGATTATAGAAGGGAAGAAACAAATTAATATTGCTAAAAGAAAATAAAGGGTAAATGAAAGACATATAAACTAGACTAATCAACTCTCTTTTTCTCCTTTTGTCACCTCCTCTTGCTTGATTCGTTTATCATGTCTCAACACATTTAATCATATAGATGCCTTCCTAATCGCTTTGTTCTTTACGTTTGCCTCCTTTATGTTGATTGATTTTCACTATATTTGGAACATAAGAGCACGCATGTGGCCAACCGTTTTTGTTTGCGGGTTCTCCAAGCTCCAACTTCCTCAAGCATCCAGCCTCCCCAATGATTTTAATAGTATCGTGATTAAGAGTAAGGTCGCATTTTATTTTCCTTACTTTAATAAAAACCACAGCAACTTTTTTCTCCTCGTCAATAAAGAAACTCTTATATCAAAACCTCAGGTCAAAGATTTGCATATGCATTGTGAAGAAATTGCTCCACGACGTACTGTTGGCATCAATCTTATTCGTAATCCATATCTCCACATTATATGTTTCGCTTTTCAGAAATAAAGCCGCGATCTTTTCTTCTCTAACCGAAGATAGTGAAGCAAATTCTTCATCCCAATCCCTAAACGGCAGAGGGAGAAGCGGTCCAAATCTCTCTCTTGTAAAATCAAACCAAATTATATGATCAATGGGTGCAGCGCCCTGTTCTAAAAATCCCCGCCTAGCCCCGATTACTCCCCGCTTAATCGCTAGGCCCACCCTCTCCGCCTCGATTAATGACTAATCCCCTAAAAAATCAGTAACCCGATTATTCTCCGTCTAATCCGATTATTTCCCGCCTAATCCGATTATTTCCCGCCTAATCTTACGTACCCCGATTATTTTTTAGATTACAAGTATAAAAAAAACATTTTATTTTTGTTATTCAATCATTTGAATTGGGAGTTTGTGATGTTTTACATAACTTGTGTTCAAATTTTAATAAAAATCATAAAAATTTGTTTTTACTGTAATTTTGAAAACAATATTGAATTAATATATTTTAAAAATATTAAAATAACCCTAAAACTAATCCCCGATTAATCCCCGATTTTAATCCGATTTTCCGATTAATCGCTAGGCCCATGCCGAACGCCCGACTAGCGCCTAGCGATTTTTCAAACAAGGGTGCAGCGTAGTTATTCCGTACTACAACACCCCAATAAGTGTTTCCTTTAAGAGTAAGGCCACAGCCGGACAGTATATGCCAATGTAGAGAGATATCAAGAGTAGTCCATAAATCAGAATCAAAATTGTAGATTTCATACCGTAAAGCGGAATCTATGGGGTAAAAGGTGAAATCATCTATAAACCTCAAGATTTTGTTATCCATCTCGTTTGCCCCAAATACGGAGGTGTGGATTTTTGAAGATCCTTCACTAACAACTACTAAGAAAATTTATAAGTTCGTTGTTATTCAAAACGCTGTTATTCATCAATAAAGATTAATTACCATTTTCTTAGGATATCTCTATGTAGTTTGCTAACACAAAGCTATTGGAGTCGATCTCTGAAATATATATCTTGGGGACAATTTTTATAGAAAATCGTTTATCAAAAAAAGATTTGATACACCAAGTATACGTCTATCTACTTACACTTGTAAAAATGAGAATAATTTTTCCGATTAAGATCTTTTGGCCATTGTGGAATATGACAAATATTTGTATTATTCCCAAGAAAGAAAAACAGACTCGTATAACGAAATTTATGACAAATTTCTATTTCAACTTTTCTGAAATAGAATTTCCAAAAGCTTTGGTTATATTAGTTGAGCCTTTGTCTAAAATCTTAGTCACATCACAAGTATGTTTAACAATGTCCAAAGGTATGTCTTCATCAAAAGAAATTTAGAACAACTTTCATCAGTTTAATCATGTTTAATGTTTTCAAATATTTTGATATCTTAAGTTTTGTAGGTTTTCAATTCAATATCAGCTATAAAAAAGTGGATTGGTCCATGTCTATTCACTAAGCGCATTCTCCATCATTCAACGTTGCTACCTCTTCAGCCTTGTCCTCGCACTCTATTTTTGGCAGAAATAAATTAAATACAAACATCATTTTACACATAATCTCCAAAAAATGATAAAAAGCACAAATGTTAATAAAAGATATGTGACAATAGTTAATTCAACACGACTCCTTATACAACATTTCTGTTTTTATCATAAAATTTGGAGATGCTTTCAAAATCTATGTATGACGACTTATCTACCAATTTATATCGCGACTTTGAAAATTACTATAACTTTGATACATGAAGGGTAATCCTACTGAATAAATTTCATTAGCAATGCACTTTGAGGAAATATAAGCACTAACACTTTCTCTGGCTGCAGAAACTTTTTATTAGTGAAAATCTAACTAGGAAAAATACAAATACTTATTTGAGATGTACGACATATTCTGACTAGGAAAAAAACCCTAGACTTTGTAAATTGAGACTAATCAACTCTCGTCTAACATGTTTTGATCATATTGATGTCTTTCCTAATCGCTTTGTTCTTTCCTTTTGCCTTCTTTATGTAGCTTGATTTGCACTATACTTGGAACATAAGAGCACACAAGTGGCAAACACTTTTTTTCTGTGGGTTCTCCAAGCTCCACTTTCCTCAAGCATCCAGCCTCTCCAATGATATGAATAGTATCGCATAGATTTTTTCCTTCTTTGTCAAAAACAACAGCAACTTGTTTCTCCTCCTCAATGAAGAAACTCTTAAGCCTATAGCCAATACATGATGGCATATTCGTTGTGAAGAAATTGCTCCAAGAGACATTTTCGGTCTCAATCTTAGTCGTAATCCATATCTCAATTTTATATGTTCCCCTTTCTTGAAAGAAAGCCGCGATCTTCTCGTCTCTAACTGAAGATAGAGAAACACATTGTGCCTTCCAATCCCTAAACGGCAGAGGAAGAGGCAGAAACGGTCCAAATCTCTCACTTGTAAAATCAAAACAGATTATATGTTTAATGTGTGCCTTTGCGTTCCGTTCTACAACGCCCCAGTAAGTGTTTCCCTTGAGAGAAATGCCATGGTGGGACAATATACGCCAGTGTGGAAAGACATCAAGAGTAGTCCATAAATCGGAATCAAAATCGTAGATTTCATACCGTAAAGCAGGGTTCTTCGGGTAACGGTTGAAATCATCTATAAACCTCAAGATTTTAGGGCTACGACAAGATTTTCTTTTGCGATTATTTTTGTATCCTAGAGCGTACTTGTAAAAATCTCGTCCTTTCCCTCCACTAGCGTGGTAATACTTTCTGGTTTGGATCCATCTCGTTTGCCCCAAATACGGATTCCAAACAACAACCTTAGTATCATCATCTTTCAAGATGCATAACAATAAACCCTCACAATGAAAGACTTGATAAATTTTGACTTGTTCTGAATCTTGTAGGCACGTAAGTTTATCTAGAGACTCTGTGGATGGATTTTCATTGAGGACAATGCCCATTAAATAAACATTGTAATCCATCATCATGATCATCCGAGTTTGACCTAATTCCCTAGCTGCTTGTTCTTGTTTGCCAATGTGCATCTTCGTAAAGCTCCGGCTTTTGAACAAATCGTTCCACTTTTTGCAAGTTAATCGCACTCCTCTCATAGATTTCAAAGGAACCTTAGAGATAATCTCCTCTACTAAATCCGTTGGAAGATTTGACATCGTTATTGTCATTGTTTCAACTTGAGAAACCCTTTACCAGTGCCTTGCGACTTATAAATGAAGATAAGAAACCCTAAATTAAGTTCGGCCAGTTAAAGGGTTCAAAAATCTAGTTGGGCTTTTACTAATGTCCAGCTTAACAATTGGATACATCAAATATACGTATCTCTTCGGCCTATACTTGCTCTGCGACGAATTCAACTTTTTTATTTACCCACAACCACCTGTTTAGTTGGGCTTGCTGGACTCAAATAATGTATTCATATTTGTATCAACAAATAATGTATTCTTATTATTTTCATTTTTAGTGAATTAAATGTAAACTCAATAAAGTTCGCTGTCAAAGACTAAAGAATAATTTACCAAGGTTATTCTAAACTCAATAAGCCTTTGAGCCAGCTCAACTAATTTCTGATAATTCTTATAGCCGAGGAGATATTTCACGGTTTACGTAAAAATAAATCACACATACGTAAATTCATGGCTATCAAATCAGATATAAGTAAAGCGTATGATATGATAGAATAGTCTTTGAACATCATATCTTTTTAAGAAAATTAGTTTTGTGAAACAATAGATAATATGAATAGTTTACTGTGTAAAATCAGTTCGGTATCCTTATGCCCTTAAAGTGTGGACGGAATTGGCAAGAGGGATCCTTAAGGATAAATTCTCTGCGAACTGGAGGGAGATTCTGAAACTGTCTTGTGATACAAACCTAGACAAGACTCAAGGCTTTATCTTACGGTATGTACTTCAGAACACAATACATTCTATTTGGCAAGAAAGGAATGCTCGAAGACATGGGGAACAACCGTCACCGGAAGAGAAGCTGGTTAAAATGATAGACAAGAACGTCCGAAATCGTTTGAGTACGATCCGAATGGGAGGCGACACAAGATATGCAGCGGGCATACAAGTCTGGTTTGCCACAAGGAATTTTCACGAATAATTCTTTCAGTTTTGCTCTATGTGTTTATTAAAAACAGTCTGCATTAAGCTGTAACAAACGTTATTTTCTTTTTGAATATAATTTAACATTAAATTAAAAAAAAATCAGTTTGGTATAAGGTACTAATTAATGGCCGCTCTAGGAAACATATTTCCAAATGGAAGACTTCAACATGATTATTCATTATCATCTTATCTATTTATTATTTGACGGAAGCATTAATAGCAAATATTCGAAAAGCAGAGAGGTAATATCCCTTAGGGAACTAAAAGTTGTGAGGAGATATCCACTAATCCCTCATCTTCTATTTGTGGATTGTAAAATATATTTCTATTTTATATATGATTTTTTATTATTTATTCTTTTTGGTCAAAACATATATAATTATTTCCTTTTATTCCAGATTTTCTTTGACTAGTTACATATACAGTACTATATTTTTGTCTTCTTTGAGGAATAATAATTAAGTTTTCTTTTTTATAGAGTTGTTTCCAAATTTCTTTATTTACCTATATACTATGTCATTTGTTTAAAATGAGACATTTTAAAAAATTTCATTTCTTAAGGTAAAGTTTGATTCTATATTAAACTGTAGTGGATTCGCTAAAAACAAATTTCCAACTTTTCTAAAATAGAAATTTCTAAAAATTTGGTTATATATATTAGATGAGACTTTGTCTAAAATTTGAGTCGCATCAGAATGGATCTCGATGTATGCTAAACAGTGGCCAAAGGTATGTCTTCATGAAAAGAAGTTTAGAACAAATTTCATCAATATAATCATGTTTAATGTTTTCAATTATTTTGATCTCTTAAGTTTTGTAGGTTTGCAATACAAAATCAACTAGAAAAGAGTGGATTGGTTCATATCATTTAAATCTGTAATTGTCTATTCACTTAGGACATTCCCAATCATTCAGCGTTGCTACCTCTTCAGCCTTCTCCTCGTACTCTACTTTTTGTCAAAAATAAATACACATCATTTTACACATAGGTTCCAGACAATGATAACAGAAAACGAGACACAAAGCACAAATGATAATGAAAGATATGTTACAATAGTTAACCCAACACAACTCCTTATCAAACATGTCTGCTTTGGTATCTCGTTTTTTATCATTAATTTTGGACACTATGTGTAGAGTGATTAGTATATTTGTTCTATCCAAAAAAGTAAGATACGAAGATAATGCATAAGAGGTCGTAACGTGGAATTATTGGATTTGTTCTCAGTGGTGTGGCAATTGCAATTGCAATGGAGGTGATTTCAAGATCTACGTAAATGTTTTTCATTTAAACGTAGTTAATCAAGAAGTTTAGAACGCATGTACAGAAGTTTTAAGCTTCTAAGGATTCTGCGTTTTTTTTTTTCCAAGCAAGAAAAGAACCCACAATTTTCCTAGAATATAGGAACACAACTAACACATGTACAATTAGATTTTTTTCTAATTATCTATAAGTTATGCCCATAATTAAAGAAAAATCAATGGTAAATGCTACTAACCAGTAACCACAACCTAGCTTATGAGATTATATAAGTTACAGGTTGAGTCGGGAAAATTTTGCTTGTTAAAAAAATCTAACTTATTACAGTTACACCTACAAAGATTTGACAAGTATGAGGTGTAAATATAAACTTAAACCAAGAGTCGGATGCCAACAAGCGTTATAAATTTGAAACATCAAATAAAATAAAATAATAATTTAAACATAACTTAGAGCATTTTTCTTATACTGTAAATCAAACTTTTTTTTTTCTTAAAACAAATTTTGTGAATTGTAACATAGTGATTTCTCTGAGTAACAAAAACAATATTCAATTTTCAAATCTGAATATTGCATATATATATATATATATATATATCAATAAATAAAGAGACTGTCGAATTCTTTTCCATTTAGTTTTATTTCTGTCAAATTTCATATATATTAATAAAATCATTTCAATTCAAATGTTTTAAAAAGAAGATTTTATAAATTAAATATTTGTGCATAATTTTATTTATACCATTAATTTACCTTTTTTGGTTATGATTTTCATTTAATAAAAAATGATTATTCAAAAACTACTTTGACAAAAAATAAAAAGTTATGGGTAGTGTAATAAAATTTGGTAATAAATTACATTACCAAACCTACTTTAATAGTAACATAAATTAGGTAATAGTAATGAAAAACAGAAACAAAAAAACAATTTTAATAAAGTAATTATCTCATGGGTATCAATTTTTTTTTAATTGGTAAAAAATCACATCCTTCTAAATATCTTTACTAGCTTGTACATATTTTCTTTTATATAACTCAAGTGATTTTAAAAGGTTTTCTAGGCCCAAAGACTAATCCTTAGATCCGGGGAAACCATTTTAGAATTCGAACTCCAGTGGCCAATGCTACTCGAACCCAGGTGGCGGAGACTTTTCTCTTCTTTACCACTGGACCAAGGTGACTTGGTTAGCTTGCAGATATTTTTCATGCGAATATCGTCGACTTAATATAAAACTTGCGACTAGAATTTCCCATTGATCAGAAGTATTCTTTCGTGTTATGAAGAGGACATCCGCAACTTAAAACAAGTAAGCTTGGTGCTAAAGATACTTGAGTGTGGCTCCCAACAACTTCTGGTATATACTCCGCAAAATCATGTTATCATGAAGCCATTCTTGAGGACTCTGTGGAGAATGATCCACCAAATTCCAATCATACCAGTGAGTTTAAATGGAGAGAATCTGGTCCATCAAGTGCTCTCCAAAGACAAAAATCCTTATATGGAAAATGGCTCAGAATACCTTACCTGTCGGAGAAAACCTCCTCCATAGAAAAATCTGTACCTCGGCTGTTTGCCCTCATTGTGGAGAAAAAGAATCAACAACTCACATGCTCTTCCTTTGCCCCTTTTCTTTCCAAATCTGGAATGCAACTCCTTTCACCCGCGGCTTAAATCTATCATGAATTTCCTCTCCTCAGGAGGGCATCACATTGGTCAATAAACTTGTTTGCCTTCCCCTTTTAGGTATCGGAGATGGCCCCCTGGCGCCGTGGATCATCTGGGCAATTTGGTCAGCTATGAACTAGCTGATTATGGAAAATTTAATCCGCCGTGGATCCTTCTTATCAAACATGTCTGCTTTGGTATCTCGTTTTAATTTTTCATTCATTTTGGAGACTGTGTAAAGTGATTACTATTTTCTTTCTATTCAAAAAATAAGATACAAAGGGATTATAAACTTGGTTTGATACACGTTTTAATAGACGCTACGACAAGGGATTACAAACTTGGTTTGATACACGCCTCTAAAGTGTCTAAATTTCTGCTCTAAACTTTTCAAACTCACGATGTAATCGTTGTAAAAACGCTATTTTTTAGTTAAATATAATTTAACATTATTTTCGCAAAAAAAAACAAAAAGATATGAAGATAATGCATAAGAGGTCATAACGTAGAATTATTGGATTTGTTCTCAGTGGTGTAGCAATTGCAATTGCAATGGAGGTGATTTCATTTAAGCGTAGTTGATCAAGAAGTTTAGTATGCATCTAGAGATGATCTAAGCTTCTGAGAATTTTGCGATCTTTTGGTTTTTCCAATGAAGAAAAGAAACCACAATTTTCATAGAATATTGGAACACAACTAACTTACTAGGATTTTTCCTTTAAAATTATCTATGAGTTATGTCCATAATGAAAGCAAAAACAATGGCAATTTATGCTACTAATCACACCCTATCTCATGAGATTATATAAGTTACAGGAGTCGTAAAAGTTTTGCTTATCAAAAACAACTAGATCATCACCCGTACTATAGTACGGGTTGAATATTATTTATTATAAAATTTATAAATTTTATGTTTTAGAATAAAGTTGTGATATATTATAATAGTAAGTAAAAAAATAAAATTTTTTTGTCAGTCCCTATATATAATATTAGAATGAATATATTTTCCTTTTTCTATAGTATTCAATTATGCATTTTTTTTTTAATTATGAAAACGGAAAATAAGATTATTTTTTAAAAACATTAATATTGTTTGAACAATGAGTTAATTTATGTTAACAACCACAA